AAATTGCTTTCATAAACAAGGCGTGTTTCCTTTTGTATTTCCTGCTTGTTACAAAAAATTGTGTTATTAAAAAATTATAAAACATCTTATTTACTCAAGTGTCATGTTTTTTGTGGGTTTGAATTAACGCTCACTCTGCGGAGTAGATTATTTTGTTTTCTTGCATGTTTTTTTTTTACGGGTTACCTCGTCGTTTTATAGTACCTAAGGGGAAACGATAATAGGAAAAAGTGTCCCAAACTATCTCATCTATTACAACCATCCACAAAAATAAACATCTACCACTCGCACACGCTACCGGTTGATCATTAGTCTTTACGTCCACCACGGTTTCTTTGTTTATCGCAGAGGCAAAGATAGCAAAATCTCTCTTAACCCACATAAGAGCTTTCCTGGCCGTCAGCTAAATGCCACGTCACCCAAAAGCCTGGAAATTCAAGCGTCCTCTTTCGCAAAACTAAGAACCCTTTCGAACCAAAAATTTGTTTGGATGAAGGCGTTTAGGTGCCGTAATACCTCATTGAAAGTAGATACTCAGAAGAATCGATAGTTTCTTAGTTTGAATTTTGGTGATGTCATGTGAAAATCGAAAACAAATTGTTCGACCTTCCATAGAACGGACATTGAATCATTGAAATTTCGTGGAACCTCTATTCTCCGCAGAGGTCTCTTAGAAAAAGAAAGCGCGCAGGGCACGATGGGAAGGGAAACGAGAGATCAGAGGCCTTTTCCCTCTTCCCGAGGGTCGTTCCCCAGGCGCTTTCTATTTTTCGATTATTGCTAGTTTTTGGGGGGATACCCAGCAGAAACCTCTGCGAAGGAGAGTGTTCCAAAAGGAGAGGCAATACAGTGCTCACAAGAAGTTATACAATTTCAGAGAATATTTCATTACGTAAGATTTACTCAATATAGCTAGTGTACAATATATGTCGGTTGGAGTTAATCTTGAAGAATAATTAGTAAAAGTTTCAATATTCTCACATATAAATTATGGAAATCAGAGCTATACAGCAGAAGGCAAAGAGTCAAGTTTTAAATTCGGAAAGCGATTTCGTGTGCTGTTTTTGCCTCCCGAGAATGTTTGAGGAAATTAGTCTGCGGCCTTGGAAGTTGACTAGATCACTTTCAAGATTTCTAAAACTAGGGTATCTAAAAGATAGTAATGCTGCGGCACATTCTGTTGATACTGGCATTAGTTAGGCAGTGAGACTTAAAAGAATCGAAAATGATATTGAATGTCCTATTTACATGTTGGAAAGTACTAGAATAATTACTATCAGTCTAGAGAAAGAACTCGTGGGAACATTGTTTAGAAAATGATCAAGTGGTTATCAACTCTGGTTTTCCCACTGTAAATTGTAGGAAATAATAGAAATTCAGATTGTTTATCCATATATTTAATTTGCGGTGCACGATATTTTCCCTGGAAACACAATACTTTTCTTGCTGTTTGTTGCACTTTATTAAGTAACAGTTATTTAGCTATATATTTATAGAAAACAACAACACAAAAAACGGAAAAAAAAAAGAATGAATGAATAAATAATTCGGAAGGACTCGAACCCTGCACCTTCGGCTCCACGCGACCATTAAATATTTTGGAGTTACGATCAACGAGAATATCATGTGGAATGATATGATGTGATAAAAATCACATCTTATTTGTTTGTTCTCGCATTTCTCGATATATTGCAATAATTTCGAAATTAAGGCACTACCTTTCGCTACAGCAACTTAGGGCAGTGCATATAAGACCCACATAACGAAAACACAAGTAAAACAGAATCATATTGTTAGATTATTCTTTTTTTGTCCCACATCCCTGCCACGGGTCCCATATGCATAAGGTAAAGAAACAGAAAGAGCCAAACCTTTACTAAATTTACTAAGAATTTTAATAGCGGATAATGTTTATCGCCTCCATGTTTTAAAATTCTTTTATTAATGAATGGCATAAAGGCACGCTACGTAATGAGATATTTCGGTATGCCAGTAATATTCGTGGATACGGCACAAGATATGCAGCTAAACAGAATCTTTATGAATTTTGAGTACGAACTAATATAGGAAAACAATCACTACCTTTCATCGCTATAGATATCTGGAAAGACCTTCCATTTTCAATGAACTCAAGCCCTATCGTAGTTCCCAAATTAGTCAAACATTATCTACTGTGTGGACAACAGAATAAAATTATTTATTAGCGAGCCCCGGAAAACTAACCAAAATATAAAGACACAAAAGTTCTTCCTTTTCGGCTGAGGAGTAGGTGGGGATGGGTGAGTGCTCTTTATTAAGTTGATTTAATTTATTAATTCATTTATCTATTCTATTTTCTTCTTTTTTACCTGGACTTTAATTGGATGGGAAGCTAACTAGAAAAACTTTCACAGCTCGCACTTTTTATTTCTCCTATATTGTAAAGTTAATAAGCTTGCACAAATTTCAGTTATGTTAAAAATGTAATTTCACCATGAGCTAAATAAAGAATTATGTTTATTATTTTGAACCTGGTAACCCAACCTCGTCCCCAGGGCACTTTTCCCTCCCCCGGCCTCCAAAAGCACGCTGGGAACGAGGTTGCTGGTAACCTTAGGTGCGTCAAAGTTTGTACGTCAAATTTCCCGTCCCCTCATCCCTTGTCATCACACAAGTTAATAAAAGGCGTTGTCTCTTGCCCCGGTTCCCGGCGGGTCTCTGTCGTTGACGTTACAGTTCACGGTAGAGTCCACGGCCCAGTTGTTCGATCGAACGCCGGGTAGCGCTAACCCCATCTTCGGAGAGCCAGGGGCAGTCAGTCGGGTCGGGAGAAAGGGCGCGACTAACGTTTTCAAGTACGGGCGAAAGAGCCCCTGGGAACCGACTCTCGCCGAACTATTTCCAAAAATTCAAGCGGATGCCGGCTCCTGATTGGGCACAAAAAGTGCTTTGTATTATTGTGCCCAATCGGCGAACAGTTTCTCCTGAGTTCTTTTCGTGAGTTCGTACACGACGGCTATTGTCTTGCTACACTTGCCCGGTTCGTTCACCAAGCTTGTGCGAGCCAGGGAGACTTTTATTTTCTTCTTTCCTAACCAGAAACGAAGGAACTACCGATGAGTCAAAAAAACGTTTGGGATGCTATCAGCAGGAGCAGGTCAATTTGCCCGGAGAATATTCTGTTTTTTGACTCATCACAATGTATCGTAAATAATAAGAAGATAAAGATGCGGCGGCGACGAGAAAGTCAAATAAGCAAAACAACAACTTTGCACGTGCATCACACTTTTTTGTACATTTCTTTGCCGTCAACTGCACGACTACCCGTGAAAATGCCTAATTTCATGTTTTGTGAAGGACGTAAACAAGCAATGACAAAATTCATTAACTTCACCGACTTGGATATGTTGATAGAAATTAGCTCCAGAAGAGTTCGCTTGCATTTGACAAAGTAAGCGTTTTGGAATAATCACGATAGAAACTGAAAAAATGTGAATTCCGTTTTCCATGCGACCTTTTCGTGATTGTCAGCCGTCGTGGTATCTTTTAAAAATTCCCTAATATTTACACAAGACGTGACCAATGCAAGCGTGATCACCTGTTGTAAGCTCATGCTTGTAGTTTTGGTATTTCATTGGTTTTTATATAATATATAGAACGTTACATGGCCGCTTGGAAATTTCTCTTCTCGTGTTGAAAAAAACGCGAACGAGTGAAATATTCTTCAACACTCGAAGAGAAATTTCGTATTTCCAAGCGGTCATGTAATATCCTCTATTTCGTAACGTGATATTTCGGCCTTCTCCAGATTTACAGATGTAATGTCGAAATAAAAATTGTTTTAAAAGGAAAGGCGGAACAACATAAAAAAAAAGAAAAACTTATGGATATGGATATGGATTACAAAAATTCGTCACGACGGTTTAGGCCATTAGGTTCAAGAAGGTTCAAGAGTCATGACCTGATCTATCAAATGTGACTCCCTCGCCTTACGGACTGAGTTACGTGAAGAATGAATTTTGAATAAATTTCGGCAAGAAACTCCACGCGGTCTCAGAAAGCACTAGGGCCGAGACGGGCACTGATGAAGTTGGCCAAAATTATATCATTCGGATTGGCCCCAAAAGACGTGAAAGAAAAAGCACCTGGAGCCAGTCCAGTCTCCTCTCTCGGTCGTCTTCCTTTTACAAGTTGCGTGATTCGCGACTCTCCCTTTCGTTCCCGCGCGCCCCTCGCACTCGCATCCCCTTTCGCGTGCTGCCCTAGCGTGACTTCTCGCGACTTCCCCAATTGGTTTGCAGGCTATCAGTCAGTGATTAGTTACTCTACGACCCTTACGTCAGACCAGACAATATGGATGTTTTGATGTTCAGTTGAACTTTGGAACTTTAAAAGAAATCTAGACTGTTGAAAGATCCCTAACTTAATACGGTTTATCGTTTATTTTTTTTTAAATTCGGGATGGATGCCTAATAACCCTGATCAGTTTTATGTAATGAATAACATTCTCTGATTTTCTGATCTATTTTATCCCTGTAAACTTATAGCATGCGATTATTGATCACCTCGCTCCGAGTTGGAATTCATAGGATTATGTGCCGGAATCATATTATAGAAATTAGTTATAGTGCAGTGGCCATGAAATCAAGAAACCATTCTGTTACCGATCCGCTAACCTGTCGAGTTCATTCAGTTCATTGGTCTCAAAAGTGAAAACTACCTTAAATGCACATTAATAATGCATAAGGCAGCACAAACCCGAGTCGAAAAATCTATCATCGACGGAAAGTCGATGATAGTTATGACCTTGTGAAAATTATACTCATAGGGCAAGCAGCCAAATTGATAATTATTCATTTAAAAACTCATGCTGGTCACGAGTGGATCATACGTAGAACCTGTGACACTAAGAAGCGAGTATTTATGACACAAGTGTGACACACCACGAAGGATAAACAAGTCCAAAAGCTTCGATCAGGTCTCATCTTCACTTCAGGTGCTAGCTTCTCGAGCCAATCATA